AACATATCTGAAAATACTTCAGTGTATCAAAAACTCTGCTTTCAAAAGATGTGCAGATCATGAACAGAAGTTCCCTTCAGATATACAAACCGAAAAAAAATCGGAAAATTCTTCTATCTCACGGACATCACTTTCTCTTATTCAGTTTGAACACCAAATATTGATAATGAAATCGAAACATATATCATCCACAAAAAAGCTGCACAACTAACATATGACAGAGTAAATTTATGACTGTGAGTGAAGGACATAAATCTGCCCCATCACGATCAGCAGGTCATAAAAATCATTCATACAACTAGACACTTCAATCCCAGGCAAATGGAAATATTTTAAACAGACTGTTTTTTGGAAAATATCCGTTTTGATTTATACTTTTTCATCAACATAAAGAGTTGGGAACTTCCGAAGGAAGCTTTAAAATAATTCAAATATGTATATATGATACAAACTGGAAGACAAAATCATCCGAAACAATATTTTCATAAAGTATGCTTCATTTAGCCATATGGAATAAAAATGAGGAATGAAAACTTATTCTTGCTTTTGATGTAACTACTGAACGATTCTGTCTATATCATTTCTTGTCACAAAGAACTGAACTTTATTTTATTATCACTCTCTCTTTTGTGATGCGTGAATGAATGTACGTGGCCTATTCAAAAAGTAAGGTGAATGTTTGAATTTCGCGGGTTACTTACATTCGACTAGAATTTTTTATGTTGGTACACTCATCTCGAACATATCTTCACAATTTCAGCTGTTTAGCATGTTCAGTTTGTTGGTGAAAGCGTTTTGCGTGTACGGCGATTTTCTGATATCGAATAAAATGAATAGAAGAATTTGCATCAGATTTTGTGTGAAAAATTAAGTTCTCAAAAACACTCGATATGTTGTGATTGTACTCTGAGTCAGAAAACTGTTAACAGGTGGTACAAGCTTTTCACAAAAGCTAAAAGCAAGCGTAATTTTTTTACCAAAAACTATACCCCATAATCATGCCTCAGCCACCGTATTCACTAGATTTGAGCCCCTGAGATTTTCTTCTGTTGAGAGAGCTCAATAATACTAAAAAGTGCATATTACTTCGAAGATTGAAAAAAACGCTGGCACAATCGTTTATGGAAACAAACTCTTTCATTCGGTTTCCTTGAAAATTGTTTCACTACAGATGTTACAGTGAGTGTTGCTGATAGTATAGTTGAAGGTATTGAAACAGGAAGTTTAGGAGTTAGATTACTGGAAAATTTATTCCAGTGACTATTTTACTTCGGTTGATCAAACAATGAAAAAACAGAAAGAAGAAGAATAATAATTGTTCACTGTTAAGAAACTACAGGTGAATAAGGATTATTCATAAAACATCGTTTATGTGTTGAATTATAAGGATTTAGTCTGAATAATGTAGGTTAAACTGGACTAGTCATATTTTAAAGTTGAAGGGTAAATTATCCAGAACCTTGTTCTTACTTGGGCAACTGAAATTCCGAATAGTCTTGTTATAATAACATCGAATTGTTTGTCCTAGTTTGTCTCACATTTCATAAGGCATCTTATTATTATCCCCCACCGGAAATATTCGAGGGCATGAAGAAACAGTGATAAAAAGTATCTTCATTTTATGAACGCGCCTGTTTCCCCACAGCAGGTGCCCCACGGCTGGTAAACGCGCCCCTTTTATCCCTAGACAGGGATCCCCAATTAGAATATCTGAAAATGATTCCTCATCTACAACATAAAACGAACCTATATACATAATTTCAGGTATGGAGAAATAGTGATGAAAAGATTATTTTCATTAAACGCTCCCTTTTTACTCCCACATGGGACGCCCCATTTGGAATACTTGAAAAGCCTTCCTTAGTGCGCATCTAAGACCTAAGAAGTACGTATATACCAAATTAGCTCGCAACAGCTGCAAACTTAGAATAAATGAAAGCAAGGAACTTCACAATCAGAGAATTAGGGATAAACTGGTAGCCAATCCCAAAGGGTCTAGATCCTTCTGGTCGGTAGCTGAAGCTGTTAATTAAAACTTTAAAAAATCCACAATTCCACCACTAACACAAGCGGATGGTTCAATTGCAACAACAGTTGCAACAATGAACTCACACCAGTATTTTGCAGACTTATCAACATGTCTTACGAAAAAGGGTTTTTTTTCTTCTTCTCAAGGGATTGCTCGCGTTCAACCTATTCCCAAAAAGGGCAAGAAAAATCTTCCAAATAACTATAGACCAGTCAATGATATAAAAAATCATGGAGAAAGTCGTAAACCACTATATCCTCAAATATTTGAAAGGCTTCAACATCTTGAGCGATCATCAATACGGTTTTCGGAAACAAAGATCAACAGGCGACCTTCTATCGTATGTCACCCATATTGGAATTACGCAATCGAGACACACGAAAAATCAAGGGCTGTTGCGCTTGATATGTCTGAGGCCTTTGACCGAGTGTGGCATGAGAGTTTGCTGGCCAAACTTTGATGCTATGGCTTGTCGGATCATTACTGCGTATGGCTCTCCAGCTTCCTGAAAGAACGTTCCCTGCAAGTGGTCGTCGATGAATATCTCTCGAATACTTTCATCATCAACGTTGGTGTTCCTCACGGATCCATATTGTTTCCAACCCTCTTTTTATTGTATATTGTATATCATCCAAGGATCCAATATATTGCTTTGCTGACGACAGCATACTTACCTCGTCATTTCATTTGTATTCCAGGACATTGGCTACGGAGGCACATCTTCACCGGCAGTAGGAGGTTGCATATCTTAATGATGATCTAGAAGTAATTTCGAATTGGCGTAAAAGTAACCAGATTCATTTCAATGCCACAAAAACCCAGGCATCGGTTTTCTCCAAGAAGATGAATGTCTCCGAAATGGATATAATAATGTCAGGTCAGACAATTTCGCTTTCTGCTTCGATGAGTTTGTTGAAAACTATACACACCTCAGCAACTTTTGATGCTTTATAAAGTTCAGAATTGACCTTCTTTGGAGTATTGCTCTCATGTATGGAGCTCTGCCCCCAAACATACCCTGGAGTTGCTAGATTCCATCCAGAAAAGAGCCATCCGCCTGATTGGAGACGCAAACATCATGTGTAACCTTGATAACCTGGATCATCTAAGAAAGGTTGGAAATTCATCTTTCTTCTATAGATACTTTTACGAGAGGTTTTCAAGTGACTTGGCACATTTGATTCCACCAAGAGCGGTACATATCAGAAATACGTGACGGACTGTAGCTGCTCATCGTTTTGAGGTTCAACTCAGTACACCCCGAATTTCACTGTTTGAGAACTCTTCTATCTGGTGAGGTGCGTTTATGAACCTCCTGATAACGGTTTTCCAAATGAATTTAATCTCCAGCGACTGAAATTCAATGTGAATCGCTACTTTTACACAGGCACCGCTCTGAGAGTGCCTTAAGGATTTTCCTGTAGTGCTTGTGTTTTGTCCCTACAAAAATAGATAGATGGAAGTTCTTGTCGCAATGCATAAACTCATTATGAAATCATGTTAATATCTTCATTGTTGGTTTTATGACTATATTTTGTTTCAGAAGAATTATTGGAAAATTGGCTTGTCCTCATATGAGGTAGTAGTATATTGTTCTTTGTTTTCCTTTATGTGAGCTTTGTGGTAAACTTGCTCTAATTGAGTGACATAATAAATCTTGATTACCTCTTTTAGAACCCAAACTATGTTTATTGAATAGATCATCTGCAAGCCTGATTGTTGAAAGTCACAGGTCATTGAAAACAAAAACACCTGAAAATATAACAGTGAAACAAACTGTGGTTACTCCCAGAAAGTTACGAAGAACAAATATTCATAACGGAAATTACCGAGATAGCTGAGAGAGGTTTATCTACTAAATCTTTTCGTGTTCAACTTTCAATTTCTCCATTCAGGCTGAGTATATTACTTTCCAACTGAAAATTTTCCTCATTCACCAAGTCCCTGAAATAGAAAAAAGCACTTTCCATAAAATGTTCAAGCAATCAAACAATCTGATCTGATCATCGATAAACCAATACACAATACACCAACCTAACCCAGTCTGCACATGGCAAATAATGCCTCAAATCGTTTTTTGATAAAAAAATATTTTCGTTTGGAATTTTATTGAAACATTTCACGTAATATCTACAATATTTCCGAAGTGAGTTGGCTTTGGTGGAAAGAATAAAAAAATTTTAGAACCGACACAACGAAATTCGGAGAACATTTCATCGCATAATTTCACCCAATTCATGGTTCCTCTTTTGCTGATTATTATTATAGCTTTCATTGTCGCCATGTTCATTTCATTCACGTTTTCAAGTTGGTAAGTGTGCACCTAAACTGCCGGAACTTCCACTCTATTGGAATTCCCTATCCACAAAAAAAGAGGTGCGGGAAGTCAGGAAATGTATTCATTTTCCCCCCAATGCTGAACATTTTTCTGTGTACAAATTATATCGACTATGATTGCGGCGAATGGGCCGTAATTTAAAAGGGAATAATTCACAAAATTATAATCGAATATTACCGAAACATCCCGAAATATAAAATTGAGTTTAATTTCTCAATATGAAGTGAACGTCTACGATCCAAAAACTACAACAAAAATACAGGTCCGTATTTAAAAATTCAAAGATGGGGGTGGCCCAGGTCACATGATACCCTGTATAAAAGATTCATGGATATATTCTGAGAGCCCACATCAAGTGCCAATAGCAAAATGTGGACAGATTTTCAATATGTCTGCGAATAAGGAAGATATAGGCAAAAAATAATTGGGGATTTTTTGGTATTTCCTGTATACCTCCAGAACCAAAAGAGCTATATTCGATTTCTTCACATCATTGAATAGGTCTCTAAACACAACTTTGCCACAATTTAACCGACACTCTATCTCTTATCGTTTACGAGATCCCTATGTACAGAAACGAACTTGAATAGCCCTGTATATTCAACGAAAGTCATTTTTTGTGGAGGAAAATCAGTTTTTCACGCTTTGGCGGTACATATACTAAAATTGGAACGATACAGAGAAGCATGGCCCCTGCGCAAGGATGACATGCAAATTCGTGAAGCGTTCCACATTTTAAGGTAAGTATTGTATTATTTCATAGCAATTTTTTTGATAGGCAAAATTGTTACATACGACAAGTTACTGATAAATAAAACATTTTTCATTGTGAAAAATACTTTGATTTTACATAGTAACTTATCGGGTTAGTGGCTCCGTGCATTTGTATTTCTTTCTTCTGGTAACCAAGTGTTGCCCATTTCTACACTTGGCTGCACCATACCGATGATGGTCCAAAAGCCCGAAACACGTGGCTATGGTTTGCCACTTTCTTGTGTGCTATGTCCGATTGATTACTTCTTTATCTATATCAAGACACTCGATAACCTTCGTATTTGTATTATTTTCTGAGCCCGGATGTCACACAGGTAGCTATAGCTGCCTCCGTGGTAATTTTGATAGTTTTCTTGTAAACACAAGATCTATTAACTGAAACCACAAATATGCGGCTGGCTCCTGCTTGTGGCTCCGTGCATTTGTATTTCTTTCTTCTGGTAACCATGTGGTATCCATCCTTACACTTGGCTGCACCATACTGATGATGGACCAGAATCCCGAAACACGTGTCTATGGTTTGCCACCTTGTTGAGTGCTATGTCCGAATAATAACTCCTTTATCTATATCAAGACACTCGATATATGTCTTGACTAAGTTGGGAGTTAGTCCTTGTAATCACAAGGTCTTTCAACGATGACACAAAATCGCAGTTGGCCCCTGAT